TGGTGGGAATGCAAGCTGGTGCAACCACTCTGGAAAACAGCATGGAGGTTCCTCAAAATGTTGAAAATAGAACTACCCTATGACCCAGCAATTGCACTACTGGGTATTTACCCTAAAGATGCAAACGTAGTGATCCGAAGGGGCACGTGCACCCGAATGTTTATAGCAGCAATGTCTACAATAGCCAAACTATGGAAAGAACCTAGATGTCCATCAACAGACGAATGGATAAAGAAGATGTGGTATATATACACAATGGAATACTATGCAGCCATCAAAAGAAATGAAATCTTGCCATTTGCGACGACGTGGATGGAACTAGAGGGTATCATGCTTAGCGAAATAAGTCAATCGGAGAAAGACAACTATCATATGATCTCCCTGATATGAGGGAGAGGAGATGCAACATGGGGGTTAAGGGGGTAGGAGAAGAGTAAATGAAGCAAAATGGGATTGGGAGGGAGATAAACCATAAGTGACTCTTCATCTCACAAAATAAACCGAGGGTTGCTGGGGGGAGGGTGTTGGGAGAGGGGGGTGGGGTTATTATGGACATTGGGGAGGGTATGTGCTATGGTGAGTGCTATGAAGTGTGTAAACCTGGCGATTCACAGACCTGTACCCCTGGGGAAAAATATATGTTTATAAAAAATAAAATTAAAAAAAAAACACATCACAAAGCTCACTATTTTTAAGGAGATTCAGTCTTTTATTTCTTAAAAAAAAAAATGCTCCCCAGATTGCAGCAAACCTTTGGTTAATGTCCAGTCCTGAAAATATTAATTTTTTATAGTTTTTGCCAGATTTCTCATTGTTTTTATGTAGGAGAGAGTTTTTGGTGGCTCTTAATCTGCCTTTTATCTGACATTCCCAGGTGAGTTTCTAAACTTATGAAACTAGCTGAAAAGCTAAAAATTACCTTACCTGGAAATTATTGATAGCTCCACCTAATTATCTTTTCCTGATAACCCAGTAAAACTTAAAAGCATAAAGAAAATAAGTAAAAAACTAACTACATGCTTTTCATTGGTACATTGATACATTGGTCCTGGAAAATTAAGGAATGATTTAATAAAAAATACCTTTTGGAAAATAAAAAAACCTCACCCTATTGGAAGGGTATGAAACCCATGGCAAAGATATAACTAAACAGTACCTGAATCACATGAGAAAAACATATTTACATCTAAGAGGCAGTATTCAGCCAAATGTTTCTAGGTGATATTTCCTGATTTCATTGGATTGTGCCCAGCTAAACATATTCTGTTTTAAAGTTTATTTAAAGTGGGGATTACTCTGTGATTCATCATACTTCAATCCTAATTAATATTTACTTTAATACCTATAATTCTGACATTGAATCATGAAATCTGGTCCAAAGATATGGTGATCCATGCCTATATATAACTAGGAAAAATGTCATATATATTGGCTGAAACCCTGTAGCCTTGTTTCTGTGAAAGCAACATTCTCAGCTTCAACTAGAATACTAAGAATTATGATATATTCGACATTAAGCTCCTTTGGTCAAGGAGTATGTTTATTTTTATTCAACAGTCTTATCAATCGATCAATCAATTGTATCTCTAGCACTTAGCCTAACACCTGTTTATAGTGCTCAGTAAATATTTGCTGAATAAATGAACAGTGAAAAAGTACCAACTTTAGATTGATATATTAAGAGAAAAACCATTCTTATTTCAGCTACATAAGTCCTATAAAAAAATCAGCTTCAAAACCCACTTTTCACAAAGGTATAAAGATACCTAAATCACTTACCATCAACTGGTGGAGTTAGAGTAAGATCATTAAGTTCCTCAGCTGGAAGACTGACTGCCATGTTTTCAAGAATAGAGTCAAGGTCATGGTCATCAACCTGCAATCCTATTAAAAAAAAAAAGACATGAGGAAATTAATATAAAAGTTAAAATATAATATTAATTCCTATGTATAGTGGCTATTCATTTCATCATAAAAAAGAGGCTAAGGACATTTAAGTGTTTAAACAGTCATTAATGGACTAAAATTAATCTACTCACTTATAACCAATACATCCAATATTGAAGATAAGCTTGCATAACAATACATTGAAATAGGGCTGAGAAATCATTCAGGTTAATTTTGGCAGCAAAACAGCAAATCTAACAGTTTTTAATACAAATATCTGCACAAATCAAGTTCATTTTGTCACTGTATTTCAAGATATAAAATGTTAAATTTTTATAGCTAGGCCTAAGTTTTATTATTTCCACATCCAAAATTGAGGTAAACCCAAATACTTAGAACATCTTTTAAATATAAAACAAAATTATTTCATCAATAAGAACATATATATTAAAATTATTATGAAAATATATATGAGAATGGGAGGAGGCAATATTTAATAAGAAAAAAAGCAAAACACAAGAGTCTCAATCTGACTTCTCAATATGCATCTCACTCACCTTTTATATCTTCTGGAGAAGTCAGCAACTTATTCTTATACATGTTTCTACTAGCTGTAGATGGAAGAAACACATAATTTAGGTCATAGAGAAAATACCTAGACATGATAAAATACCAAATATCTAAGTTCAGAAATATAGATCATAAAGTAATTTGCTCCTAAAATTTACCTAATATCTTCTAAAAATAATAAAACAAAATATGAAAACAAAAATTCTTAATGTGTATGGTAAATCTATCAATTCTTTAGCACCTGAGACAATTATTAATACCTACCATGCCAAAGCAAAACACTTCCATATTTTGTATTTTCTCTGACTCCACCTTTTGTTCCCTCTAGTAGTACAGCTCTATATCTCTCCTTCTATTTGTTTCCTAGAGGTCTTAACCAAAGGCCTCTCAATGAAATAAAAAATAACTATTAATATTCCTTTTTCCAAATGGCAAGAATTATGATTGATGAGACTGTTGATTTACATGTTTTAAATGGCAATTTATATATTCCTATATATTAAAAATAATCATCTTTAAAATTATGGATATTTTAAAATGCTGACTTATAAATGATCTAAAATAGAGTACTAAATAATTAAAAAACTTTAAGGATATAATCCTAATTCCCTGAAGATTCTACCTGATATTTGCAATGCTGAAAAACTGCCTTGATGATCTCTTGAAGGCAATATGAACTCTTTTGAAGACTATTCTGATATTTGAAATGTCTGGTATTTGAAATGCCCACCATTAATACAAGTTGGTGTAGCTACTTTGGAAAGCAGTGTGGAGATTCCTCAAAAACTTAAAAATAGAGCTACCCTATGACCCTGCAATTGCACTACTGGGTGTTTACCCCAAAGATACAGATGTAGTGAAAAGAAGGGCCATCTGTACCCCAATGTTCATAGCAGCAATGGCCACAGTCTCCAAACTGTGGAAAGAACCAACATGCCCTTCAACGGACGAATGGATAAAGAAGATATGGTCCATATATACAATGGATATATACAATAGAGTATTATACCTCCATCAGAAAGGATGAATACCCAACTTTTGTATCAACATGGATGGGACAGGAAGAGATTATGCTGAGTGAAAAAAGTCAAGCAGAGAAAGTCAATTACCATATGGTTTCACCTACTTGTGAAGCATAAGGAATAACATGGAGGACTCTGGGAGATGGAAAGGAGAAGTAAGTTGGGGGAAATCAGAGGGGGAGACAAACCATGAGAGACTGTGGACTTGGAGAAACAAACTGAGAGTTTTGGAGGGGAGGTTTCTGGAGGGGAGGGTTTTGGAGAGGAGGGCAGTGGGGGGTTGGGTGAGCCTGGTGGTGGGTATTAAGGAGGGCATGTATTGCATGGAGCACTGGGTGTGCTGCATAAATAATGAATTTTGGAACACTAAAATAATTTTAAATTAAATTTTAAAAAAAGAAAAAAAAAAATGAAATGCCCACCATTAACTGGAAGTGACTTCTCTGGCTGCAAGTGTCCTTTAGGTGAGGGCTTTATACCCATTTTTTGCAGGACATTATCCAGCTCACTGAAGTCAGCTTCTCCTTCAAAACAAAAGAAGTAGAAAAAGATACCATTTTTAAATATCATAATTTCAAATTATTAAAGAGAAAAAGGCATAATGTTACCTGCTAAACAACAAGCAGTCAATTGCAGACACAGAGAATGAACAGTATTTCTTTAACACTGGTAAAAGAGATGTTCCCATAATGATGGTAATAAAGTAATATTTCACAAAGTTCGTATAATTTAAAAATTATTAGAATAATAATTTATAGTTTTATTATTTATTATCACAAATAACAAAGATGATGTATACAAACAACTGTTTAATATGGGGTATGAAATTAAGATAGAAATCAATAGCAAGAGATCCTAGTAAAACCCTGTAAGTTTGGAAATTAAAGAATCCCTGTCTAAATAAATCATGTGTCAAAAAAATAAACCAAAAAAAAAAAACTACCCCACACTGGAAGTAGAATATATTTTGAATTGAGTAACAATAATAATATTACATATTAAAATTTGCAAAGGTGTGCTCAGAGGGAAATTTACATTAAATGCCTACAGTAAAAAGATGAAAAGATCAATAACCCAAGGTTCTATCTCAAGAAGTTAGAAAAGAACAGCAAATTAAACCCCCCAAAAGGAGAAGAAAAACAATAAAGACAAAAGCACAAATTACTGAAATAAAAAACAAGCTTTAAATAAAATGAATACAGTCAATGGGTTTTGGGAAGACTAACTGAAAGTGCTAAATGCCTGCACTAAGACTGACAAAGGAAAAAAAGAGAGAAGGCACAAATAACAGGTATTTCTAATGATAAAAAGGATATTGCCAAGAAGAGCAAAAACAAGCCTAAGGAAGTGAAACAAATTTAAAAGATTTATGCTTCAGATACCAAGACATATTAAAGCTATGTTAAGACAGTAGTGTACTGGTGCAATGACCAACAAATAGAACAAAGACAAAGAACAAAAAGAATAAGAAGTCCAAATACATAATATATGTATATTATATATATTATATATATGTAAATACATATATATACACACATATACATAATATGTGTGTATATATATGTATATATATGTGTGTGTCTTTGATTTATGAAAGACACACACACACACATATACACATATATATATCTAGTTTATATATATATACATAATATCTCTGTATATATATATATATATATATGTGTGTGTGTGTGTGTGTGTGTGTGTGTGTGTCTTTGATTTATGAAAACGTTAGCCTTACATTAAAGTAGGGAAAGGATCATCTTTTCAGTAAATGGTGCTAAATATCCATTTAGAAACAAACTGAGGGTTACAGAAGGGAGAGGGATGCCAGGATGGGGTAGCTGGGTGATAGGCATTAAAGAGGGCACATGCTGTGATGAGCACTGAGTGTTACAATTAATGAATCGTTGAACACCACATCAAAAACTAATGATGTACTGTATGTTTGCTAACTGAATATAAAAAAAAAGATAGTGTCCCTTATCCCATATCATATAGAAAAATCAATTCTGAGTGGATTATTGATCTAAATGTGAAAGAAAAATAACAAAACTTCCAGAAGATAAAACAGGAAAAGTTTTCATGACCCTAGTGTATGCAAGGATTTCTTAAACAAGCCCCTAAACACTCTATAAAAGATTGACTAATTCAACTATATGTGAAAAAGAGAAAATTTTGTTCATCAGATGTTAAAATACACAGGAGACCCTTTGCAGTGCTGCCAACACCCTGGCAGAGAAGCTGAGGTCACCACCAACCTTGAAATATTTAGAAATATTTAGACAAAATTCTTTCAGCAATACAGATAACCAAAGTGCATTGCTGTGGGTGATGGTGCTGTTGGTAAAATGTGCCTTCTGATATTCTACACAACAAATTTCCATCTGAGTATGTACCAACTGGTCTTTGGTTTTTTGTTGGTTTTTGAGGACTTTATTAATATATCTGGGAAAGAGAGAGAGAACACGAGCATACGTGCATGAGCATCGGGGGGGCGGGGTGCAGCAGAGGTAGAGGGAGTAGCAGACTCCCAGCTGAGCAGGGAGCCCAACGTGAGGTTCAATCCCAGGACTCCGAGATCATGACCTGAGCAGAAGGCAGAAGCTTAACTGACAGTCACCCAGGCACCCCTGCGCCACCTGTTTCTGACAACTGTGCAATCACAGTTATGGTTGGTGGAGAGCCATACACTCTTGGGCTTTCTGATACTGCAGGGCAAGAGGATTACTACAGCATACGACCACAGAGTTATTCACCAACAGATGTACTTCTAGTCTGTTATTCAGTGGTTGCTCCACCCTCATCTGAAAATGTGAAGGGAAAGAGGGGACCTGAGATAACTCACCACTGTCCAAACATTCTTTTCTTGCTGGGTGAGACCCAAATTGATCTCAGAGATGACTCCTCTATGATTGAGAAACTTGCCAAGAACAAACAGAAGCCTGTCACTCCAAAGACTGCTGAAAAGTTGGCCCATGACCTGAAGGTGGTCAGATATGTGGAGTGTCCTGCACTAGCACAAAAAGGCTTAAAGAATCTATTTGACTAGGCGATATTCGCTTCCTCGAGCCTCCAGAATCAAAGAGCCCCAAGTGTACACTGCTATGAACATGTCTACAGAGTCCTTCTGCAGAGCTGGTGTCTGCTTGTACTAAAAGCAATGTTAAATCAAACTAAAAATGAAAAATGAAAAAAAAATTTTTTTTTTGCAATAATGACCAATGCCCTTCACCTACCCACATGCACTCCAGTGAGTCAAGGTCCAAAGGTATGGTGCCTTCTGATACTAGTTAATCTAAGCAATTGTGTACTGTCAGAAAAATGATTAGTACTAGTTTTTGTTTTGTCATTTCAAAAATATGTTTTTGTTTAAAAGCAAGGCGTGCTTGTGATGACTCTGCAATAGACTGATTTGGGTTGTTGAAGCTGCTCCCAGGCTCCATCCACACTGGAGAATAACCTGGGACATCTAGGTTGTTGGGGGTTTGTCTCTTTTTGTAGTAGGGAGAATGTACCATGAGGGGGTGTTTTTATTTAGTCATGTTTTTTTAAATTCATTAACCACTGGACAGAACTTAAGGGGAGGAGGATGGATTAATTCCACATTCCACTTCCTAGATCTAGTTTACAACACTTGTTCTCCACCCGGTGCTCTTAGGAAGGAGTATAATAAAAGCCTCAATAACATACTTTGAAAGTTGCTTTCTCTCCACATTTGAGTAGGTCCAGTATTTGATGAACTCATGAAACTAGGGGGAACCTATTCTGTTCCTCTTTTCTAGGATGTACAATATATGGGACTGTGACTTGCAAGGAAATTTGTTTGCCATTTGCTGATATTTTATTCTATTTTATTTTTAAAATTTTATTATGTTATGTTAGTCACCATATAGTACATCTTTAGTTTTTGATGTATTGTTCCATGATTCACTGTCTGTGTATAAAACCCAGTGCTCCCTGTAATATGTGCCCTTCTTAATACCCATCACTGGGCTAACCCATTCACCCCACCATCTCCCCTCTGAAACCCTCAGTTTGTTTCCCATAGTCCATAATCTTTCATAGTTAATCTCCCCCTCTGATTTCCCTCCCTTCATTTTCCCTTCCTTATCTTAATGTCTTCCATGCTGTTCCTTATGTTCCACATATAAGTGAAACCATATGATAATTGTCTTTCTCTGCTTGACTTATTTCACTTAGCATAAACTCCCCAGTTCCAACCATACCTATGCAAATTGTGGGTATTCATCCTTTCTGATAGATGAGTAATATTGCATTGTATATATGGACCACATCTTTATCCATTCATGTATTGAAGGGCATCTTGGCTCCTTCCACAGTTTGGCTATTGTGGACATTGCTGCTATGAACACTGAGGTGTATGAGGCCCTTCTTTTTACCACCTCTGCATCTTTGGGGTAAATACCTGGTAGTACAATTGCTGAAATTTTTTTGAAGTTAGTTTGTAATTTCTTTCATTGATAAGTGAAGAAAAGTGCCACACCTTTTGAAATACACCACATGGACTGAGTATATAATTTAAACACTTTTCCCCATCAAAAAAAAAAAAAAAACCATAATAAACTACAAGTGAAAAGGCAAAATATACAGGGAGATATTTACAATTTATAAAACTGCAATGGACTTGTATCCAGAATACATAAAAAAATATAGATAAAAGATAAGAAATAAAATATTCAGCATGGAATTCAGGAATATTGTGAATTGGGGATCATAAGCTCACCTTGTCCCATAATAAACCTATATACATCCACACATCAGTGTTAACTAACTCAGAAAATGACCTGAAGACTGGTAGCGCAGAACCTCCACAGTTAATTGGAACCAAAACTCCTAGAAAGACTAACCACAAATGCGAGCATGCAAGAGGGAGAAGAACAGACCTCAGACCAGGCACCCCAGACATGGGGGATTGGCACTGTGAAGATGAATCCCCATAACATTTGGCTTTAAAAACCAGAGTGGCTTAACTTTGACATTTTTACAATCAGTGGATTGCAGTGAGAACTTCAAGAAAAAGACAGAAAATATAAAGAAGAACCCAAGATGAAGAACTAATTAACTGAAATTTAAAACACACTAGAGTGAATAAATAGGCTAGAGGAAGAAGAAAAACAGATCAGCAAGCTGAAAGACAGTAATGGAAAGCAGGTAAGCTGAACAGGAGAAAGAAAAAAGAATAATTAAAACATGAGAATAGATTAAGGAAACTCAGTGACACCATCAAGTATAACATCATTAGCATTATAGGGATCCCAGAAGAAGAAGAAAGAAAAGAGCACAGAAAATTTATTAGAAGATATAATAGTTGAAAAATTCCCTAATCTGGGGTAGGAAATAAATCCAGATTCAGAAGACACAGAGAGTCCCCAACAAAATCAACACAGGAAGTCCACACCAAGACATATAATAATGAAAATGGCAAAAAATAGTGGTAAAGAGAGTACTTTAAAAGCAGCAAGAGAAAACAGTTATATACTAGGGAAACTCCATAAAGCTATCGGCTGATTTTTTAGTAGAAACTTTGCTGGCCAATAGGGAGTGATTAAAAGTGCTGAAAGGAGGGGAAAAAAAAAAAAAAGTCTGCAACCAAGAGTACTCTATCCTCAGGACGCCTGGGTGGCTCAATTGGTCATGATCCCAGGGTGCTGGAATTGAGTCCCACATAGGGCTCCTTGCTCAGCAGGGAGCCTGTTTCTCCCTCTGCCTGATCTGCCTGTGGGTCTCTATGCTTCTACTCTCTGACAAATAAATAAATAAAATCTTAAAAAACAAAACAAAACAACTCTATCCAGCAAGGCTATCATTCAGGATAGAAGGAAGGACAGAGTTTCCCAGACAAACAAAAGTTAAAGGAGTTCCTCACCACTAAACCAGCCTTACAAGAAATGTTAAAAGGAATTCTTTGGAAAAGAAAGGCCATAATCAAGAGTAAGAATATTAGGAAAGGAAAAAATTTCACAAATATATACAAACATAACAAAAGGAGTATATTAATCACTTATAAAACCAGTATGGAGGTTCTATCACAAAAGCAGTAAAATCAACTATAGCTATAAAAATCAGTCAAGGGATTCACAAAATAAAAGGATGTAAAGTATGGTATCATATATGTAAAACATGGGGCTGGGTAAAAATCTAGTGCTTTTAGAATGGTTCAAACTTAAGTAACCAGCAACCTAGTACAGATTTCTATAGATATCTTATGCATAAGGTATTATATATGGACCTAATGGTAACCATAAATCAAACACCTGTAATAGAAATGCAAAAAATAAGGAGAAAGATATTCAAGCATATCACTGAAGAAGGCCATCAAACCACAAAGGAAGGGAGCAAGAGAAGAAAGGAACAAAGAACCACAAATCCATCATAAAACAAGTAACAAAATGGCCATAGTGCATACCTATCGATAATTACTTTGAATGTAAATGGACTAAACCCTTCAATCAAAAGACATGGGGTGATGAAATGGATAAAAAAGCAAGATCTATCTATATACTGCATACAAGAGATTCATTTCAGACCTAAAGACACATGCAAATTGAAAGTGAAGGGATAGAAAAACATTAATCATGCAAATGGAAGTGAAAAAAAAAAGCTGGGGTAGAAATACTTATATCAGCCTTTAAAACAAAGGCTGTAACAAGAGACAATGAGGACATTACATAAAGATAAAGGGAACAATCCAACAAGAAGATAAAACAATTCTAAATATTTAGCCACCTAACATGGGAGCACCCAAATACATAAAGCAACTATTAATACATATGAAGGAAGAAATCAATAGTAATACAGTAACAGCAGAGGACTTTAACACCCCACTTTCATCAATGGATAGAATATCCAGACAGAGAATCAACAAGGAAATGGTGCCTTTAAATGACACATTAGACCAGATGGATCTGAAAGATATATTTAGAACATTTTTTTTATTTTTTATTTTTTCAGCATAACAGTATTCATTATTTTTGCACCACACCCAGTGTTCCATGCAATCCGTGCCCGCTCCGATACCCACCACATGGATCCCCCAACCTCCCACCCCCCGCCCCTTCAAAACCCTCAGATTGTTTTTCAGAGTCCATAGTCTCTCATGGTTCACATCCCCTTCCAAATTCCCTCAACTCCCTTCTCCTCTGAAAACAGCGGAACACAAATTCTTTTCAAGTGCATATGGAACATTCTCCAGAATAGATCACATTAGGCCACAAAACAAGTCTCAGCAAATTCAAAAAGATTGAAGTTGGCAACCTACAGACTGGGAGAAGATATTTGCAAGCGTCATATCAAATAAAGGGTTAGTATCCAAAATATATAAAGAAATTATACAACTGACCAATAAAAAACCCTAAATTAGCCAATTAAAGAATGGGCAGAAGACGTGAACAGACATTTCTTCAAAGAAAAAATACAGATAGCCAATAGATGAAGATACTCAATAACACTCTTCAACAGGGAAATGCAAATCAAAACCACAATGAAATATCACCTCACACCTGTCAGAATGGCTACAACCAAAAACACAAGGAACAGTTGTCAACGAGGATGTAGAGAAAAAGGAACCCTCATGCACTGTTGGTGGTAACACAAACTGGCATAGCCACCATGGAAAAGATTATGGAGGTTCCTCAAAAAATTAAAAATAAAACTACCCAATGATCCAGTAATACACTACTGGGTATTCACCCAAAGATTACAAAAGTACTAATTCAAAAGGATATATGCACCCCTATGTTTACCTCATCTTTATTTACAATAACCAAATGATGGAAATAGCCCATGTGTCCATCACCTGATGAATGGATAAAGAAGATATCTATAGATAAATAGATAGATAGATAGATAGATAGATAGATAAACACACACTCAATGGAATATTATTCAGCCATAAAAAGAATGAAATCTTGCCATTTGCAACAACATGGATGGAGTTAGAAACATAATCCTAAGAGAAATTAGAGAAAGACTAATATCATATGATTTCACTCATATGTGGAATTTAAGAAACAAAACAAATGAACAAAGAGAAAAAAAAAAAAGAGGTAAAACGAGAAATAGACTCTTGACTACAGAGAACAAACTGATGGTTACCAGAGTGGAGGTAGGTGGTGGGATGGGTGAAATAGGTGATGGGGATTAAAGTGTACACTTAAACATGATGAGCAGTGAGTAATGTATAGAGTTGTTGAATTACTATAATGTAGACCTGAAACTAATATAACATCTTATGCTAATTATTCTTGAATTTTAAAAATAAATATTTTAAAAAATTCAATATGAAAAACACAGACATTCAAGTAGACAAACAGGCAACAGACATGAAAAGAACCTTACAAAAGAGGTATCCAAGTAACCAATGAACATGAAAAAGGTGCTCAAAATCATTAATGACTAGGGATATGCAAACTAGAACAGTGCAATCCTACTGCATGTCCATCAGAATGGCTAAAATGGAGAAGAGAGATAGATATCAAGTATTAATAAGGCTATAAAGCAACTGAAACTCTGACATGCTGGTTCGTTGGTTGATGCATAAAATGGTACGATTACTTTAGAAAATGGACTGAAAATAGCTTACCTGTGGAGCATAAGGAATAACATGGAGGACATGAGGAGAAGGAAAAGATAAGTGGAATTGGGGGAAATCAGAGGGGGAGAAGAACCATGAGAAACCGTGGACTCTGAGAAACAAACTGAGGGTTTTGGAGGGATGGGGGTAGGGGGTTAGGTGAGTCTGGTGGTGGGTATTAAGGAGGGCACGTATTGCATGGAGCACTGGGTGTGGTGCATAAGCAATGAATCTTGGAACACTGAAAAGATAAAATTAAATTTAAAAAAGACAATAGCTAGTAAAGTACACACAATCTTATCCTATAACAAAGCAATTTCACTTCTAGGTATATGGCCTGGAATTGTGCACATACATTCACCAAAATGCATATACAGAATATTCATAGCAGTATGTTCTTCATAACTACTCCAAACTGGAAAAATCTTGTGATGGTAGATTGGAGAGGTATATTGTGGTATAATTATACAATGGAATATTGCACAGCAATGTATTCAGGTACAATGAGTTAGTTAGTTAATCATTTCAGCCACTAAAGCAGGTTCTCTAAAGATCTCCTTGACTATAATTTAGTAGATTTTATAATCTGCAGCAATGAAAATGAACCAACTGCTACTACATGCAGCAATATGAATGAATCTCAGAGAGTAACATGTACTATAATGTTAAAGGAAGGAAATCAGATAGCATGGAACATAAATCATATGGTTCCATTTAGACAAATTTCAAAAACAGGTGAAGCTAATCTATGGTCCTAGAATATAGGATGTAGTTACCTCCAGAGCATATGGAGGTGGTGACTGTGAAGTGGTGTAGGGTATCTTTTGGATTATGGATAATGTTTATTTCTTAACCAGGCGATAGTTAAATAGATATGTTCACTTTGCAATAATTCTTAAGCTGGACACATGATTATATGATAGAGTAATAATGTATTTCATACTTCAGTAAAATATTTATCAGAGAAAAAATATAGTTTAGTGTAAAGAATTGGGAACCCCAATTTACAGTAACTTCTCACTGACCTCTAATATCTTGTACTGTATCCACCAGTGTTTTCAGATCAGTCTCCCCTTTAGCTATAAAATAAGGCATAATTGAGATACAAAGCAGATTCATTTAAAAATATAAAACAATAAACCAGAAACAAGCTAAATTCCATTATTCCATATCATCATTTGGCTCACTTTAATTGCATAAGTGTTAGTTTTCTGAGATTGCCCTAAAATATGGTAGTGGTAGCAGGGACAGAGAGGCATTGATGGACTTATATGTGGGATTTTTTTTTCAATGTATTATTATGAAAATTTGTAAACATATAGCAAAGTTGAGAGAATTGTGCAATAAACACCCATATGTCCACCTAGATTCTACTTTTAAACATTTTACTACATTTGGTGTGTCACATATCCATCCATCTACCCATCTCTGTGTGGTAATTTTTTGAATTAGGTTTATATACAGGTAAAGCTTACAAAATTAAGTGATAATCCAGATAGTGGGTGGTAGGAAATGAGGGGATCAAAAATGAATCTTATAGATCTACCTTAGGTAACTAGATGGACAGTGACAACACGAATGAGATTGAGAATTTAGGACAAGGAGACTAGGTGGGAAGATAGCGAGTTCAACTTTAAATGTGTTGAGAAAAAGAAGTCTTGGAATATCCAACTGGAAATGTCTGGCAGGCATTTAGAGATACCAGTCTGAAGCCTATATAGAAATACAGATTTATAGTCATAAGCATGTAGATGATAGATTGGACCACAGAGTGATGAGATTACCCAGAAAGAGTATGTAAAATGAAAATTAGAGAATGAACAGATCTGGGTCAGAGGGAACAACACAGATGACAAAAGAGCCTAATTTCAAGAAGGTCAGAATTATCACCAATATAAAAGACAGGAGAAAGCACCAATAAAGAGTGAATAATGTCTAATGCAATTGGCAAATGGCAAGTTACTGGTGCCCTGGCAGAAGTTTCAGTAGTATTATGGGGCTGTGTCAGAATATAGGAATGAATGGGAAATGTGGGAAGGATATACAGCACACTTTCATTTCCTTTTCCATCTTTTAATTGTGCCTTCCGAACATCCCCAGATGTGAAAAATGGTCTCAGAATCAATGTAGTCAAGTGCTTTGCACTCTATATGGATTCAGAAAATGGAAGACAGGATTCATTCTTACTCTAGAAGCAGAGTTTTTTCTGAGATTTTGCATGGTTTTTATCATCACAAAATTAATCTGGTTTCAGAAAAAAACTTTTTTTTTTTTTTAAGAAAGACTCTGATATAAAGCCTCAAGACCAAGCTTTCCCAAAGGGCTTTTTATATCTAAAATGAGTTACCATCAACTGGAAGTTTTCTTCTTAGCTCTCCATCTTCTTCTTTGGTGAGTTCAATGCCCATGTTCCTTAGTACCTCATTCAGGTCTCTGATAGCTACCATTTCTCCTTAGGAAAGAGAAAAAATATATACGAAAATTCCTACTAGTGTTGAAATGTTCCGTCTATTATACCTATGCATTATAGATCTTTTCTTGGCAGGGATATACGAGACCTGTGGAACATGTGTCAGTGGATGTGGAGATTATACGTGGTTAGAATGAGGCTCTCTTCCCTTAAACCTTTTTGGAGACATAAACATACACACCATTAATTTCTAAAGGGAACAGAATTACTTTCCAGAGTATAATTCTTATGGTAGAAATAGGCACTTGTAGTGAAATGAGAAAACTGCCATGGCTGAAGTAAGAACACATGGGTTTGAATATTATTCTCTACTAGTTATTATCTACTGGAATTTAGGTAACAACCTAACTTCTTGGAGTCCTAGTTTTCTGTTGTATGAAATGAAGAGCTTCTGTGAAGATAAAATAACACTTAAGAAAAGGTGTAGAACTCTGTCAGCTATGTAGCAGAGGCTTGATACATTTTAATAGCTACCTCTAAGCCAAAGTAGTATTGATTTCCTTTTTTAACTCTAACTAGATTCATTGGCTAACCAAAATCATGGAATAATAACTTTCTTATTCCACATTTCACAATTAACCTGCAATAATAAACTGTTTCTTCTCTTGGAAAATTTGTTAAAATTCATATCAATATGATCAATATAAAAAACAAAAACAAAACAAAGTGCCAAATAAAGTAATTTGTTATATCGGATCCATGTATTGGGTAGTAGCAGGATTCCTTATCAAATGGTTAGGAAATAGATCAATTGAGAGTTTTTTGTTAATTCATCATCCATCTTCCCTTTGAAAGTAAGTGTTCAAATCATGTAAGATTTCACTATGGTACATCTTCTCCTTAGCTAAAGACAAGGCAAAATTCAGCTCACAGAGAAAGAGAAATGGAATTCATAAACAGTTTTAAGTTTCTAAGGAAGCACTCTTCTGATTTGCCTTCTTCATTAGGAGTATCTATCTCTGTAAAAATATGGAAGTTAGGTCAAAATCTTTTCCCCCTTGGAGCAATTGTTAATGAAAATCTGTCATGTTGAAATATGTTGTACAGGTATGACATTTTAAATGGTATTAACATATTTTTCTTTTTCATATTCCTTTTCTTCCATAAAACTTTTCCTATCCAGCCATAAAATTTATATAACTCAGAGGGAATTTTTTTTAAATTTTCAAAAGCCACTTTTTAACAAAGCAAATCTGAAGATCTAATATTTAGTTTTATTGTAAACCAAAGGGTTGAAAGGCAAACAGACAGATAGATAGATAGATAACATAGGAAAGCTCCTTTCCTCTTCTTTCCCACATCCTGCTTGGTAAGAAGAGGAGGGAGAAAGTCTACTTTATGGTTTAAGAAAAGGCAGGAGAAATAGAGATAAAGATCTCTTTCTCTCAAGAAGGTTTAAGTGTTCCTGCTGCTTGCTGCACATGCCCCTCATCTCTATCTGCTCCTTACTCCCCTTTCCAAGTCAAACTCTGAGAGGAGGTAAGACAGAAACTCTAGATATTTTGGTGGAATGGGAGTGAAGGTATAGAAAAAACCAAGGAGACTTTTTGTCACACTTCCTATTTGGAACTCTGAGATTGACCTCACAGTGTGTCCAGACAACATGACATTGTCACAAGAACAGATATTGTGGTATGGTGTCTACAGGCAAGAGAGAGGGCTAGAAACAGGCTACCCAGTTGCCCCCTCTGGCTTTGTATATATGAAAGATATTCAGTTACTTCCATGTCCTCCCAGTAAGCCAAATGGAGGTTTTCTTAGAGATGGAGGTCAGTGGATCCTCCATGGGACACCAAGTCAAAGGGAAAGGTGAACCCTCGCAGAAGCGATGGAGCAGACAATACAGTCTGGGGACTAATAGAATGCTTGACTGAGACTCACAGGACCTCATCACCAATGAGGGCTAGGCTTAGCCAGACAAATTAGTGAGAGAAGGACCATAGATCCTTGACTTTGCTAAAAAACAAAAACAAACAAACAAACAAACAAACCAGACCACAAGTTTCTCAAGCAGTGAACTTCAGCAGGAGACGTCACCAGGGTGCTCAGGACTCATGACATTTGAGACGTTGTTAAAGAGACTATCAAGAACCCAGAGGGAGGGGCACCTGGGTGGCTCAATGGGTTAAGCCTCTGCCTTGGACTTGGGCCACAGTCTCAGGGTCCTGGGATCAAGCCCCACATAGGGCTCTCTGTTCCGCAGGGAGCCTGCTTCCCCCTGTTTCTGCCTACTTGTGATCTCTCTCTCTCTCTCTCTCTCTCTCTGTCAAATAAATAAATAAAATCTTAAAAAAAAAAAAGGAACCCAGAGGAAACAAGGACTGGCCACCCTCCTCTACCAGCAGGACACCCAAGCTGTCCCTGACACTGGGATGCTTTTCTGAGGGGTAGAGTGTAAGAGGGAGAAAGTCTTGAAAAATTGAGAATTTCCCAAAATAAACTGGATCAACCAAAAGAAACTTTTTTTTAAATTTTATTTTTTATAAACATATATTTTTATCCCCAGGGGTACAGGTCTGTGAATCGCCAGGTTTACACACTTCACAGCACTCACCATAGCACATACCCTCCCCAATGTCCATAACCCCACCCTCCCCCAACCTCCCTCCCGCCATCAACCCTCAGTTTGTTTTGTGAGATGAAGAGTCACTTATGGTTTGTCTCCCTCCCAATCCCATCTTGTTTCATTTACTCTTCTCCTACCCCCATAACCCCCCATGTTACATCTCCTCTCCCTCATATCAGGGAGATCATATGATAGTTGTCTTTCTCCGATTGACTTATTTTGCTAAGCATGATACCCTCTAGTTCCATCCACGTCGTCACAAATGGCAAGATTTCATTTCTTTTGATGGCTGCATAGTATTCCATTGTGTATATATACCACATCTTCTTTATCCATTCGTCTGTTGATGGACATCTAGGTTCTTCCATAGTTTGGCTATTGTAGACACTGCTGCTATAAACATTCGGGTGCACGTGCCCCTTCGGATCACTACGTTTGTATCTTTAGGGTAAATACCCAGCAGTGCAATTGCTGGGTCATAGGGTAGTTCTATTTTCAACATTTTGAGGAAACTCCATGCTGTTTTCCAGAGTGGTTGCACCAGCTTGCATTCCCACCAACAGTGTAGGAGGGTTCCCCTTTCTCCGCATCCTCGCCAGCATCTGTCATTTCCGGACTTGTTAACTTTAGCCATTCTGACTGGTGTGAGGTGGTATCTCATTGTGGTTTTGATTTGTATTTCCCTGATGCTGAGTGATATGGAACACTTTTTCATGTGTCTGTTGGCCATCTGGATGTCTTCTTTGCAGAAATGTCTGTTCATGTCTTCTGCCCATTTCTTGATTGGATTATTTGTTCTTTGGGTGTTGAGTTTCCTAAGTTCTTTATAGATTCTGGACACTAGCCCTTTATCTGATATGTCGTTTGCAAATATCTTCTCCCATTCTGTCAGTTGTCTTTTGGTTTTGTGAACTGTTTCCTTTGCTGTGCAAAAGCTTTTGATCTTGATAAAATCCCAATAGTTCATTTTTGCCCTTGCTTCCCTTGCCTTGGGCAATGTTCCTAGGAAGATGTTGCTGCGGCTGAGGTCGAAGAGGTTGCTGCCTGTGTTCTCCTCAAGGATTTTGATGGATTCCTTTCTCACATTGAGGTCCTTCATCCATTTTGAGTCTATTTTTGTGTGTGGTGTAAGGAAATGATCCAATTTCATTTTTCTGCATGTGGCTGTCCAATTTTCCCAACACCATTTATTGAAGAGGCTGTCTTTTTTCCATTGGACATTCTTTCCTGCTTTGTCGAAGATTAGTTGACCATAGAGTTGAGGGTCTATTTCTGGGCTCTCTATTCTGTTCCATTGATCTATGTGTCTGTTTTTGTGCCAGTACCATGCTGTCTTGATGATGACAGCTTTGTAGTAGAGCTTGAAGTCCGGAATTGTGATGCCACCAACTTTGGCTTTCTTTTTCAATATTCCTTTGGCTATTCGCGGTCTTTTCTGGTTCCATACAAATTTTAGGATTATTTGTTCCATTTCTTTGAAAAAAAAAATGGATGGTACTTTGATAGGAATTGCATTAAATGTGTAGATTGCTTTAGGTAGCATAGACATTTTCACAATATTTATTCTTCCAATCCAGGAGCATGGAATATTTTTCCATTTCTTTGTGTCTTCCTCAATTTCTTTCATGAGTACTTTATAGTTTTCTGTGTATAGATTCTTAGTCTCTTGGGTTAGGTTTATTCCTAGGTATCTTATAGTTTTGGGTGCAATTGTAAATGGGATTGACTCCTTAATTTCTCTTTCTTCTGTCTTGTTGTTGGTGTAGAGAAATGCAACTGATTTCTGTGCATTGATTTTGTATCCTGACACTTTACTGAATTCCTGTACCAGTTCTAGCAGTTTTGGAGTGGAGTCTTTTGGGTTTTCCACATATAGTATCATATCATCTGCGAAGAGTGATAGTTTGACTTCTTCTTTGCCGACTTGGATGCCTTTAATTTCCTTTTGTTGTCTGATTGCTGAGGCTAGGACTTCTGGTACTATGTTGAATAGCAGTGGTGATAACGGACATCCCTGCCGTGTTCCTGACCTTAGCGGAAAAGCTTTCAGTTTTTCTCCATTGAGAATGATATTTGTGGTGGGTTTTTCATAGATGGGTTTGATAATATTGAGGTATGTGCCCTCTATCCCTACACTTTGAAGAGTTTTGATCAGGAAGGGATGCTGTACTTTGTCAAATGCCTTTTCAGCATCTACGGAGAGTATCATATGGTTCCTGTTCTTTCTTTTATTAATGTGTTGTATCACATTGATTGATTTGTGGATGTTGAACCAACCTTTCAGCCCTGGAATAAATCCCACTTGGTCGTGGTGAATAGTCCTTTTAATGTACTGTTGAATCCTATTGGCTAGTATTTTGGTGAGAATTTTTGCATCTGTGTTCATCAAGGATATTGGTCTGTAGTTCTCTTTTTT